CAAAAAAGGAAAATAGGTGAAAAAAATATAAAAAAGGTATTTTAGGTCAAATAAAACTTAGTCAGATGACTCCATTTTTTATAAAACGGGCAAATACAAAAAAATATCTTTAAAACCTAAAAACCCAACAAAAGGTGTTTTACCTAAAATCCGGGCCTTACTTATTATCAAACTAAAAAATGAACTTGTAATAATTTTGTGTGGGCCAAAATAAAAAAAAAATTAAAAATGCGAATTTTGTTATAAAAATTGGTATACGGGGTTAGAATAATATTCTGAACAACTTTTTCCAATAACTTTTTTCGATATCTCTAACGCGAAGCAAAATATCGAGAACTGGCCCTGTTTGTGAATTTGTAGTAGGCCAAGTTTAAAGTTCAGATTTCAGTTGAGTAGCTTAAAAAATGTGACCCATCAACATGTATGAATGTGAAAAAATTCAAACCTTTATTTCTTCAAATAGTGAAAATATGGGGGTGTCTTCATCTTAAGTGCGACACACTGTATATAAAATAAGCAATACTATTGTTCATCGTGAGTTGGCAGTGACAATTTTGTACAAAAATCTGTTAAATACTTTCGATTAAAAATTCTTCTAGTCCATGAGGGTCTGCGAGTGCGGCCCCTTGAGGCCCCTGGCAAGCAGCCCCTAGCTACGTCTCTGACTAAAGTCTTTTATAAAGGCTGAATCATTTAACTTGAAACTTTGAAATACTAAAATTGGTCCTCATACTTATAGGGGGAACAGGGGGTAACTTTAAAATTTCCAATGGAACACATTATTTTTTATTGCAGATTCGACTAAAAATAGGTAGATTTTGTCTAAAACATTTTTTCATATTTGTAATCAATTTTGTTCGATTTTTCTTCTGAACCACGATTTTTAAACTAATATTTAAGTTTCCTTTGCTTTAAGTTTCATACATTATTTCATTCGGTGATAATTATCAATTGCGCACCATGGTCACTTTTTACCTGCCAGCATTAAATCCTTTAATTTAAAGGATTATTGTACTATTTTTAATAAAAATACCTCATTTAAGGTAAAAGAAACATTATTTTGTCAATTAATTAATTTAATCCTAATCGAGGTATAAAAAAATGGTATTTACTTGTAAATAATTATTATTATTGAGGAATAAAGAAAAAAAGTTTAGCATTATTTAATCAATTTAGTTCGAAGATTAATTTGCTAACAAAAATACCTCCTTTCGTTAAGAAGTTATTCATAATGGATTTTTTAACACTGGAAGAAAAAATATATTTTGATTTGATTTTGATTTATGGAGAAGCAGGCAGGAATCTTGATGATGCTGTACGATCACGTACTTCATTTCACCGTACAGTCAAGCAGTTTACTACAAACGGGAGTGTTCAACCGAAAAAAAGAATTCGTCTAGCAACAGTCACAGGTGGAAATAATGAAATTAATGTATTAGCAGCAACAGCCGCTAATCCTCATGCAAGCATACGAGAATTATCTAGGGATTTCGGAATATCCCAGAGCAGTGTTAGCAGAATATTAAAACGAAATGCGAATTAATAAATGCGTTGAAGTCGAAGGCCACCATTTTGAGCACCTACTTTAATTAAAATTTTAAAAATAAATAAATTTAAAAAATAAAACCAAGTATATTATTCAAAAATTATTGGAGAATCGTATACAGAAGAAAAATCAAACAAAATTGATTTTTTTTTCATTACAGCGCCATCTATTACAATTGAGAAAAAATGTTTTAGACAAAATCTACAAACTTTTAGTCAAATGATCCGAATCTGCAATAAAAATAGGGTGTTCCATTGGAAATTTTAAAGTTACCCCCTGTTCCACCTATAAGGAGGAGAGTATGATTTTAGTACTGATTGATTTCCCCCTTCGAATCATTTAATTTTAATTTTAAACATTTTTTCGTAAAATGCATACTAACTGAGATATTTCAAAGTTTTAAACTAAATGACTTACCATGTATATATAATATATATATACAGGGTGTTTCATAATATATGCGCAGGACTTCAGGATGTGATAGCTCATCCAAAAAGATGAAAAAAGTCGCTATTAAGTTACGCTCTAAAATGCACAATTTTCGAGATACAGGGTGTTGAAATTTTAGAAAAAAATTCGTTTTTTTCGAATATCTCCGGAACCGTTTATCGTACAAAAACAGCTTTTTTAAGCATTTTCTACTCAAAATAAGCTATGTTTTGTGCTAGAAAAAAATTTTTTTTCCTCATAATTGGTGGAGATTTTGAAGGGGCAGCGGGTGTTTTTCTCCTCAACTTCTACGCCCCTGAAAAAAGTACGGTTTTGAGAGGCCCATTCGAACCGCCAATGTTTTCTACACAAAAAAGGTACTCTTGGTCATAAGCTCTAAAGTTGACCGTTTTCGAGAAAAATCAACTTTTATGTTTAAAAACATGGTCAATTCAAAAAAAAATATTTTTTTTTTACTAATTAAACAAAATTTATTTTAACGTTAGGACAAGTAACAAAACCAAACCATAATTGCAAAATAAAAAATGATTTAAAAGTTGTCTTTGCTTAATTCTCATTTCGCACATTTCTGCATTTGAGTAAAAAATCATTTTTTATTTTTTTTTTTTTTTTACAATTATCGTTTGGTTTTGTTACTTTTTCTAACGTTAAAATAAATTTTGTTTAATTAGTAATAAAATTTTTTTTCAAAAAATTGACCATGTTTTTAAACATAAAAGTTGATTTTTCTCGAAAACGGTCAACTTTAGAGCTTATGACCAAGAGTACCTTTTTTCTGTAGAAAACATTGGCGAATGGGCCTCTCAAAACCGTACTTTTTTCAGGGGCGTTGAAGTTGAGGAAAAAAACACCCGCTACCCCTTCAAAATCTCCACCAATTATGAGTAAAAAAAATTTTTTTCTGGCACAAAACATAGCTTATTATGAGTAGAAAATGCTTACAAAAGCTGTTTTTTGTACGATAAACGGTTCCAGAGATAATCTAAAAAAACGATTTTTTTTTCTAAAATTTCAACACCCTGTATCTCGAAAACTGTGCATTTTAGAGGGTAAGTTAATGGCGACTTTTTTCATCTTTTTGGATGAGCTATCACATCCTGAAGTCCTGCGCATATATTATGAAACACCCTGTATATATATATTAGGGTGTTTCAAAAAAATTGACTTTTTCTTTTTCTTCAAATGGTCAGCAAATTCTTTCAGAGGATGTCAAAACAAAGACCTCGTTAAAATTTGAGCTTTTAATTTGAAGATTTAGAGGTCGCGGATCGCAATTTTCTATTTCCCATTTAAATAACATAGGACATTTTTTTTTTTAACTTTGTAATTTTATACGTCTATATCGAATCAACTTATGGCAAGGAACATCTTAGATTTTTATAGTAAATTTAACGCTCTCTAAAAAATGTCTCTTATAATTTTTCTATAAATTGATTTCTTCCAGAGTTATTCGAGGCCAAAGTTTGATTTCCATCGAATTTTCTCGTTTTTTTCAACTTTTAGCAGCATGTAGTAAAAAAATCACATATTTATATCTGAAACATAGGAAGTGTTGTAAAAAAAACAAAAAAACAAAAAAACGTCACTTTTTTCCAAAGCCTACTAGAAAGTTTTAATGAAAATATGAGATGTGTATAATATGCAAAGTAATTTATTTATAAATGCATTTTTCTCGAAAATGGTGCATCTGAGCAATTCAAATCAAGAGTACCTATTTTTCGTAAAAAACTATAAATTCTCATAATTTCATAAAAAAAATTAAATTATTAACCCAGAAAAAAGTTGGGGCTATTTTTGTAACTTTGCCCCCTCCAAATGTTACGCCTATGATTAAATTTTAACAGTTTTGATCATAGATCTAGATTCAGCATGTCAAAATTACCAAAGTACCTACCAAAAATTTATTTGTTCATGTTCAAACCTCTAGGAATAGTTTTAAAAAAATTATCCTCTTAGGCTCCTATTCAGGGGGCCGTAGCTCCTTTAGGGAGCATTTTTTGATAAATGTTTATTAAACAAAAAAAGTGTTATTTTTATACGAATAATGCACTGTTTAAGATTGGCCCCCTGATTTCGGGACCCCCGTATAATGATAATTGTACCATAAATGTTAAAAAAAACGCGAAAATTCGATGGAAATCAAACTTTGGCCTCGAATAACTCTGGAAGGAATCAATTTATAGAAAAATGATAGGAGACCTTTTTTGTAGAGCGTTAAATTTACTATGAAAATCTAAGATGATCCTTGACATAAGTTGATTTGATTCAGACGTATAAAATTTCAAAGTTAAAAAAAAAAATTCCCATGTTATTTAAATGGGAAATAGAAAATTGCGATCCGCGACCTCTAAATCTTCAAATTAAAAGCTCAAATTTTGACGAAATCTTTGTGTTGACATCCTCTGAAAGAATTTGCCGACCATTTGAAGAAAAAGAAAAAGTCGATTTTTTTGAAACACCCTAATATATATATATATATATATATATATATATATATAGCTATTAGTCTAAAAAATATACTCAAAGTAACCTTTCATACTCTACCTCTTTTTAAAACAGTTAAAAAGGACATTTGAAAAATTCCTCAATTATTTTTTGTGGCACTATGAAAATATATACTTTAGGTTTAAAAAGATGAGGGTCACAAAACAATATTTTAATTAAACACGATTTTAATAATTAACCGCCTATATATTTCACAATTATGGTTAATATCCATATCAGTCAAATTTTCAGAATTAAAGAAAAATACGCTATTAAAAAATTCCATTGAAAGAAGATTAATATGAGCAATATTTAGGTATCATATTTTTGCTTAATCATTTTAACTGGACCTATATTTTCACAAAAAAAATATTAGAGTGTGCTGTATGTGGTATTAGCCCCCTGACTGATATATTTTGTGGTACATGGTAAAGTAGGGATAAAGTAAGGGCTTGTTTTCCGTGTTTTGGCGAGCCCACCTAAAATATATTGTGGACCCTCATCCTTTTTAACCTGTCACTTACAGTTGCATTTCTCTTCTTCTTTCGCAGAAATCCATAGGCTTCTCAGTGTACTCCGGAACTTCTGTCCAGGTCTCTACTATGGCTTCATCTAGATCAGCTTCTGTAGCCACATGTTCCTGCTCTGCATTCAAAACTGGTTGATTTAGAGTCTCTTCTTTAACTTCTTTCCACCAAAACGGCGGATCCGCCTTACATTTTTCAATATAAATTTTCGGTTTTTCTCTAGCTATTTTTTTGGCAACCTTTATCTGATAGGGTCGTTCAAAAGCCAGTTGATCTCTTTTATTTTTCCTGTGAAGCCTCCAAAGCCTTCTTTGGTGCTGACATTCGAATTCAAAGTAAAAAGGGCGTAAAAAGACGCGCTCTAAAATAATAAATAATAAATATCTATATAATAGAAAAGGATGTAGGCCAGCCAAGTGGGCCAAAAGAATCACAGTTTGATCTATTTTTGTTTAAATGAACCAACTCATCAGTCAAAACAGCAGTGCGTTCTATTATTACGTTCATTCAACTATTACGGAAAATAGACATTTTTTAGAATTGCGTACACGAGAAGTCATAAAAGATATTTTTGTCGAGTATATTTTTAGATAAATGCATGAATATGTGCGGTTAAGCATTATACATTTAGTATTTCGAGTATTGAATATAACACAATTCAACACGATTTTCCTCCCATGAAAAATATTAAAAATAAAGGTTAAAAAAAGGTACCCGTGTCTCACCGTTTCACGAAATCACGTAATTTAAATTTTTTATACAGCCATTCTTAGTATTTTAACTTATACATGTATAATCTGTAATCTGCAGATTTTTAATTCTCTATTTTGTTATAAATCATTTTTTTCTTTAAATATTCTGTTTTAAATAATACAAAAATTATACCTAATGAAAATGATAATTTTAATTTTTTTAAATTAAAAAAAATAATTTCCGTTTTTAATTTTTGATTTTTTTTAACCACCCTGTATATAATTCAAATAATTTTAAAATGTAGCTTTAATGATTGTCCATTTATTTAGTGAATATTTTGTTTTTAAACTTTTTAAACTATGAAGTTTATCTGTTTTCGAAGCTGTTATATTATGTGCCAAATACCGTAGATAATATTTTATTGAATCGCACTTAAAAATGACGTTATCTAAAAAACGCTAAGACACGGGTATCATTTTTTTTAAGTCTATTTTCAAAATCTATAGGAATTTTTCGTGGGAGGGAATTTTATCGTACTGTGTTATTACACATGATATTTAATATGCTTTTCATGAAATAAAACAATAGCTAAAATTTCGTTTCATTTTTTTCTTAAAGCAATTTTTTTAATTGTTAATTCCCTGTAACATGGAAAAACTGTAAAGCATGGCGTTTAACAATTAAGGCGTGAAAGAACCAAAGGAGGTAAGTCCCATTTTTGGGATTTTGAGATTTTTTGTTAAAAACATAAGTAGTGGGCAGAGCTGTCAGAAAAAAGTATCTTAGTTACTTTAGAGTATCTAAGTTACTGTATCTTAGTTCCTTTATTTTTTTAACAAAAAGTATCTAGTATCTTAGATACTTTTTAAAAGGAACTGTATCTTGTAACTTAAAAAAAGTATCTTAGATACCGAAAAGTATCTTAGATACCAATAAGTAACTTAGATACCAAAAAGTAACTTAGATACCAAAAAGTATCTAAGATACCACAAGAAAAGTTCCTTTAGTCAAGTTGTTCGAAACGGCCGCGGCCATCGAATTCGAATAACTTAAGTTATTATAATAAGTATACTGGCGACTTCAGCGACTGGCGCCAATCGACTGGCGGCGATTTTTGTTATACCTACTTAATTTTTATTCACCTATACTTCTTTTATAATCTGTGACTTCGCCACCCGCTCTGTAGAAGGGTGTTTCCGTTCGTTGCGACTTGAATTTATAGTGGTAAGTCTTAAATAAGTTAGGTTAGGTAAGTACTTGTACTTGCTTCTTTATGATGTACTGATGTAGGATATTTGTTGTTATATTGTACCGTACATTCTATAATATTCAATGTATGTTTTCCATTTTAAATTTTAAATTTAAAAAAAATGTTAAAAAAGATTAAATGAAAAGTGTGAGATAATTTTTTTTATTTTTATAATTAAGTGGTGTTTAATTAACGATTTTATCTCTTTTTATTTTTAAGATATTTTAAAAGTGCCTAAGTGCTTAAGTTAGACACTTTTTGCATTAGACCCTTCAATGGTTTTAATCAACTAGATTTTATTGAACAAAATTGTTAAAAAAGTAAGCTTAAAATTATTTGAAAAATCAGGGTGGGGTTGGAACGAATTTTTGTTGGGCGGTTTATACGAAACTTATTACATAATATACAAAGTAACTAAAAAAGTATCTTATTAAGTATCTTAAAAAGTAACTTGATACGTATTTGAGTTCCTTTTTTTAAAGAGTAACTAGATACCCAAAGTAACTTCGGATACTTTTTCAAAAAGTAACTTATCTTGTATCTAGATACTTTTTAAAAGTATCTTTGACAGCTCTGGTAGTGGGGCATACCTCCTTTGGTACTTCCACGCCTCAATTGACAAGCTTTAAACTATTATTTTTCCCAACCTTTAAGTTAATCATAATATTATTTAAATCTAACATATCAAAATACGCGGATGTAGGTATATCGTACACAGGGTGCACCAAGTATCCTTCTATGTATGGGTATACCCAGGATATATTCCAAATTGAGGTAAAAATATGAACTTGGTGACGAAATCTTTGTATGGATATTAGGGCTAAGTATCTTAGATTTCGAGATACAGGGTGTTAAAAATTTAAATTATACATTATACTCCTATTAGGGTGGATCGAATTTTTAATTTTTCTATGCCTAGTAATGGTTGTATTCCAATATTAAACCCATCCGCTGGAGCCCTAAAAAAATATATAATAAAATCGAAAATCAATGAAGCCTAATTTAAACAACGTTTAAATCCTCCGCCAGGTGGAATTGTAAAGAAGGCCAGATTAAGTTATGTTCCAAAATTATTTTTTGATGACCGAAACCACGATTTGGCCTGTTTACGGTTGATAGAAACGAAATTTTGAAATGCTGTCAAAAAGCGGTTATCTGTCGGTTATTCCATGATACAACCATGTATCATGGGTTATTCTAACCAAACGTTTTATATTGTTTGGGTGTTTTGTGTATATTTTTATAAAATGAATCCAGCAGCAGTCTTTTTTGAAATTATCAACTTAGACGATAGTTCCAGAAAGGATGAAGAGGTTCCTGATAGGACTCCATTAGGTAAAAAATACTAAATTATGCGAAATAATTTGAATTTATATTGTTAGCAGATATTCCAAGGGTAAAATTGAAAATTGTCAATGATTAACCATTGACAATTTTCAATTCCAATACGTTTAATGCAATGAAAACAACTTCCTACAAAACCAAATCCTATTTAATGTTTAAAAAGAAATATGTTTTATTATAATACCTATTAATAATTGTATGCTACTTAATATAAATGCATACCAGTGGCGGCTGGTGGATTTTGGCACACCCATATCTCAGTTATTAGACATGGGACCCACGTCAAATTTATATGAGTTTATAATGACATTATATAGACAAGTTCTGCGCAAGCAGAATTTAAATTAAAGTTTGCGAAAAAAAGTTAGTTTTTAAGTGCAACCCCCAGCCTCCTGCCCCTCAAAATTAAGATAATTCAAATTAAAGTGGTACAATATTTAAACAAACAAATTTCAAATTTTATTAAAAAAATTCAAGAATTACAGGTTTTATACCATTTATAATTTTTTTAAAATTTAGTAAAAGAAATAATAAAAATTATAAATGGTATAAAACCTGTAATTCTTGAATTTTTTTAATACAATTTGAAATTTGTCGATAAACTTCAGTGAATTAAATATTGTACCACTTTAATGAATTATCTTAATTTGAAGGGGCAGGAGGGTTGCACTTAAAAACTAACTTCTTTTCGCAAACTTTAATTTAAATTCTGCTTGCGCAGAACTTGTCTATATAATGTCATTATAAACTCATATAAATTTGATGTGGGTCCCATATCTAATAACTGAGATATGGGTGTGCCCAAAATCCACCAGCCGCCACTGATGCATACATTTTACATACATTTTAAGAACCTACCTCTATGTTTTTCCAACTACCTATTAAATATTAAATATAAATTGTTATAACAAAATCGGGGGGATTTATTTATTTGTTTACAGACGCAACCTATTTTTAGTTTAAAAATTGACAGCAATCAAAATGTTACCGCTAAAAGTTTGCGGTAACCAAACCATGGAGCCTACACAAGGAGCCCGAACTTAATAGGGGAAATTGACAAAACCTGCCCTCTAAATTGCACAAATTAAGTCTTTTTTTTCACCACGTCTGCTCTTTTGGTAGCGTTTCGGTACAAATTAGTCAATTGTTTCAGAACAAACAAAAAACATATACCTACTGGCGAACCCACCCTGCTATACACCAAATCATGTGGAGAATCATTCATTTAATTTGTTAATTTGGAATCTATAAAATTTAACACTCTTAAATATTATTTTTCTATAATTAAATACCTTTAATGTGTAACATACGAGGGTTGCCTTTTATATTTCGGGAATAGAGAAAACAAACAACAATTAATCATCGTACATGGCTTTATTGTTTTTTAAAATATTCTCCATGAAGATCGACACACTTTTGCATGCACTTGAACCAATTTTCGAACCATTTTTTCACTCCGATTGAGGCACCTCCAAAACATGCATTTTGAACGCATCAACCGCTTCTAAAGACCCACACAGTCGACTGCTGTTTACTTTCAGGTTCATACGCATAGATCCATGAGTCGTCACCTGTTAAAATGTCATGAACATGTTTTGAAGCACCGCCATCGTATTTTTTAAGCATTTCTTTTGACCAGACCTTTTTTGATCGATTCTCAAATTATGTGGGATCCAAGGGTAACAATTTTTTCTGAAGGCCAAATGTTCATTTAATATTAAATGTATGCTGGTCCCACTAATGCCCAAGGATGACCCAATCTCACGATATGTCACATGATGATCTTGCATCACCAGTTAACGCACAGCATCAATGTTTTTTGCAAGAACGAGTGATTTTGGACGACCTTCACGAAATTCGTCGGTGAGCGAACCACGGCCACGATTAAATTCGGAACACCACCGATATTCACTTGTTTTTTTATGGCACTTTGTCGCCAAAAGTCAAATTAAGTTCATCGATGCATTATTGTTGGGATAATCCACGTTAAAGTTGTAAAAATTATAGCACGAAAATGTTCACGGGTCAATTCCATTTTTTTGGCTGACAATAATTTTTCAAGTGCCTGTTAATAA